GGATAGCGATTTCTTTCTCATATTGCTTGACTTTATCGATTGTCTGCCGATAAGTTCTAACAGTTTCCATAAGACTCACGGCAAATGGATATACGCGTTTTGCATCCTTGGCAACATTACTGACTGCATGAGGCACATGATAATTCAACCACAGAAGATTTCGCACTTCTTTAAAAAGTGTAATAATCTGGGGATTAAAGTTAACATCGAGTTGAAGTTGATTGTTTGCAGCGCGATTCTTAGTGATTTCGAATAATTTCCCAGAGACACTAAGATCACGGCCATTGATATCCTTGATCCAGGCGTCGTATATAGGTTTAGTATCCAACTTCTTTCGGAAATTATTGCTTTCTGTTTGTAGTTTTTCTCCCTCAGCATAGTTCTCCCATCCTTTACCCAGCACATCTTCGACACGGTTCATGTACGTTTGTAGCTGACGTTCGATTTGACGAGCCCAGATCATGGCCCCTGAAACAACAGGCAAGTCGCGAAGTTGAGCCATATGGAATGCTTCAGCGCGCCGATATTGTAATTTGAATTTATTATGAAGTTTTTGGATGTCGTCTTTGACAGAATCAATCAATTGAGTTTGATACTCTTGAATGGCACCTCGAATCTGTTAGAATATTAAGAGTTCAACTGATTAGTTAAATTGCTGATTGAACTTTGAACTCTCGGCAAAGTATATGCTCACCTTTGGTCTGACAAACAATGCATTAAACTTCGAGAACACTCTAAACATTTCATTTGCATTCTTACAAGTCCCCAATCGATCTCTCAATCGCGTAATGATCTGACTCTCAACTCTTGACACACGCTCATTGTATGCATTTTCGGCATCCGTCCATATCTCGGTTCCCTCAGGTGAAACGTCAAGTATATTGATATCTTTCAAACTCTCAAATGCCTGCTTTACTTCTTCAATGGAATCGATATCACTCATACTGACACTTTCTTCTTCTTGTTGCTGAACTGAATTAGTGTCATTTTCCACGATAATCTTTGTAACCCCTTTCGGCTGTGTCATAACTTTGACAATTGTCTGATGTAGTTGTTCGTGTTGCTTGCGGAAATTCTTGACAAATGAAACGCGTTCATGTAATTTAGCGTGAGCAGGGGTTATCTGAATACGAGTAAACTTTTCGGAACGCTTCTCGGAACGTTTGCGAGCTATATCACGAGCTACATTTGTGAAATCTTTCATACATTCATCCCATGTATAGAACACCTCTTCAGCACTGGACATTAACCTTTCAAAATCCTCATATTCAGCGTACATCAATCGACGATTGCCCAAGACCTTGAGAAGTTGGTCGTTCAGATCACGGGAAATAGCTTCGACAAGGAGAAGCGCTTTTCTGATAG